ATATATGTTTTGTGTTTGTAGGAGTTTTTGGTTTTGCGGGCATTTGCACGTATTTTTTCCGGCTTTAGTTCGCCACGAAGACGGAAGAGAAACGCGATTTATTGCATTAGATAAAGTTTTGCCCAAACGTAGTTGTTTACAAGTAGTTGATATACACCCCAGCGCTCCTGCAAAGTATTTGAAGAACCCCTCAAGCTCTACAAACATAAATATTAATCTTACAATTGAGTAAGAAGTCATTTCTATACTGTAGATTGCGTTGTTTGTTTTGTTCGTTTGTTTATTATCTTTTTTTTTATATTTTAAATTATATATTTAGATTACTAAGTTGTTCGTTTTCTTCGTTTGTTGATTCTCTTTTGCTTTTTAATTTTCATAGTGATATGCCGTTTGTTTTATTTGTTTGTTTATTCTCTTTTGTTTGCACTTGTTTTTCTTCTGTTTATTTGTCTGTTCATCTTCTTTTTCTTCTTTTTCTCTTTCTTTTTTTCTTTTTATTTTTCAGGTTTGATGTTGAGTGGCTGGCAATACTCCGAGCAAATCGAAGACAAATTCCAACTCAGCGATTTGCATGCAACGCAACTGCGATGTCTGTCTTTTACATTTTTAGATAATTTCTTTTTCTTTTTGTTTTTCTTTTACTCTTTTTTTTAAATGCCGCTGGCTTCTTCTTGTTGTTCTTTTTTTTCTTTTTCTTTTTCTTGTTTTTATTCTTCTTCTTGTCTTTCTTTTTGTATATTATTATTTTTCTTGCTCTTCTTATTCTTATTCTTATTCTTTTTCTTCTTTTTCTTGTTTTTCTTTTTGTTTCTTTTCTTGTGTTTCCTTTCCTTTCCTTTTTCTTCATGTTTTTTGTCTTCTTCTTGCTCTTCTTTTTCTTATTCTTATTCTTTTTCTTTTTCTTCTTTGTCTTATTCTCGTTCTTCTTATTGTATATTATTATTATTATTCCTATTCTTCGTTTTGTTGTTCTTCTTGTTTTTCTTGTTCTTCTTCTGTTTCTCTTTCTTTTTCTTCGTTTTCTTATTTTGTTTTGCTTTAATGAAGACAAATGAAGACTAAGCAAAACGCAAAGAGCCTCTCTCAGTGTACATGATTAAAAATTGTTTGTTTATTGCATTCAGGTGGCGTTGTTTGTTTATTCATTTAGATTTTGTTTTTTGTGTTTCGTTGTTTACTTGTACAGATCTCCAACAGAAGAAGATAAAGAATATATACGTCGAAGCCTCCTCGAGATAAATAATAACACAAGAGAAAAGAAAGAAGAAAGTAAAACAGAGACAATAAATCAAACAACAATAAAAGAAGAGAAAGACATCCATACAGAAACTATGCAGCAAACATCAAGAGAGATAGAGAAGGAGAGAGAAGAAGAAATAGAAAAAGAAAAACATAAATACAACCAAACAACAGAAGATGATGATATTAATAAATTAAATTTATTACCTTGGCCTCATTGGAGTAATCCGCCTTTCTATAATCTTCAACAACAGAGAAAACAAATTCTAAAAATAATCGGCATGCAAGACGCAGACATATTCGATGATACCCGTAAGACCCTAAACCCTAAACCCTAAACCCTAAGGCCTACATAGGTAAACAACTATCAACACCTTGATCTCCTTCTTAAACCCTAAATATTTTATGCATGGTGAATAATAGATGCGGTGAGGTGTGCAGCGTCAAACCCTAAACCCTAATCTTAACCCCCCAAACCCTAAACCCTAAACCCTCAGGGACGGCGGGGGCTTTCGGCCTCAATTGTATTTATATTTGTGTTTGTGCTTGCGAGCAGAAGAAGAAGGAAGTGAAAGATATTCGCATGTTAAAAGCGAAGAAGATAAACAAAAAAACAAACAAATAAACATAATAACAGTGCAAACACAAACAAATACAACTCTTTTAAGGCGGCCACAGGAAGAGATCTCCTTAACTCTAGACGATATATAAACAGCAAATAAAAAGAGAAAGCGAATAAACAATAAATCAAACAATTCAATTAGTCTAATGCAGATGTTTAAACAACAAACCGGCTTCATCCATCTAAACAAATAAAATATGTCTTCTTGCGTTTATATGCATACACCCACATGCATCTGCAGCATCTACAACAAACTACGATGCATTCATTCTATTAATATTGCTTAGCTATATAGCTAGCTAACTAGCTACGTATGCGCCTGGTTGCCTAGCTAGCTAGCTGGCTAGCTAGCCAGATACTTAGTATGTACCTGGGTTCCTAGATAGCTAGCTAGCTAGCTAGTCAAGTAGGTAGCTACTTCTCTAGCTAGCTACGACTGTACGTGTCTGCATAGCTAGCTGGTTAGCTATGTAGCTACGAATGTACGCAGTTGCCTAGCTAGCTACGCATAGCTAGCTAGCTAGCTAGCTAGCTACGCCTGAACCTGACCGCCCAGCGAGGTGTACGCCACTGAATTATGCGTGAGCGGCACTGCCGTTTGAAATAAATGTGCAGACGAAGTGAAGCAAAATAGACTAAGCGTCATGATACTGAGGTGTATGTACACCTTGGGGTGTACATACACCTGAAAACCATCAGCAACGCCCCTACGCCGCTACCGCCAACGCAGCTGCGGTGTCTCACCACCTCTACCCCTCATTCCAGCTAGCTGCTCGCACAACTAGCTAGCCAGCTAGCTAGCTAGCTAGCTAGCTAGTTGGCGTTGGGAGTAGGCACGTGGCTGTCACGTTGGCTAGCTAGCTACCTTCCTACCTCCCCACCTAGCTAGCTAGCTAGCTAGCTAGCTAGGGAGATAGAGACCTAGCTGGCTAGCTAGATAGGTCTCTAGCTAGCTAGAGAGGTAGGTAGCTAGCTGTAGGCGTGTTTGTTTGTTTGTTTGTTTGTTAGAGTTTATTAAATGAAACAATCTGTGCAGATTGAACAAGCCCCGAGAGCTCTTCATAGTCTTGATCGTCTTCGCCTCTTTGAAGAATTTCTTCTCTCTTTTGTTTGTCTTCTTCGTTCATTCCTATTTCTTCAATTCTATCTAAAACTTCTTGTGTATCGACTAAATCATCCAGTATCACGCACTGCACCTGAAAAGCAACCAATGCACAGCCCTACTCAGGTGTATATGCACCTCTTATCTTCACAACTTAACTGTATACGCAGCTCTACTGTAGACGCATAAGGTGTATATAGGCTGCTTGCTATACTGTTCAGGCATGGGGTGTATATGCAGCTCTCGGGTGTATACGCAGCTCATACAGCTGGGTATACACCCGAATACATATTAATAAATTAAAAAAAACAAAACAACTCAATGAACAATCAAAGACAGACAAAAAAACAACAACAGCAGCAGCAATAAAGAAATAGAGACAAACAACAGCAGCAGCAGCGGCAGCTTAGCAGCAGCAAAGAGAGACAAGCACAGCAGCAGCAAAAAGAGAGAAACACAAGACAGCAGCAGTACCACCACCACAAGCAGCAGCAGCAGCAGCAGCAGCAGCAACCTCAGCAGCAACAACCGCATCAGCAGCAGCCTGAGCAGCAGCAGCCACACCAGCAGCAGCCAAAGCAGCACCAGCACCCACAGCAGCTGCAGCACCCACAGCAGCAGCAGCACAAGCCACAGCAGCAGCAGCACAAGCCACAGCAGCAGCAGCAGCAGAGATACGAACCTGTAGTTTGTATAGGCCGAAAGCAATGGGCACCTTTTTGATATTTTCACCCCACGAGACTCCGTTCATATTAATTTTTTTAATTTCTACAGCAATTTCATCTAAGTTTGTCTCAGAGCTGTTGGGTTTAACCTCAATAACAAGCATAGATTTGTTTACTACTTCAGCCTTCTTCTTTTTCTGCTTTTCTTCATCTTTCTTCTTTGCTGCCAGCTTCTTCAGCTCCTCGCCATCATCATCATCTCCTTTAGACAAAATCAAACATACAGAGTTGTTTAAACCCTATAATATAATATATAAATAATATAATTGAATATTAAATAATAATCACAGGATGAAGAAAAAGAAGACAGAGAAAATCAAATACACACAGCCCCTCAAGAGCTATATATAATATATATAAAATATATATAATATATATATATATATATACATATTATATATATATATATATATTACATAATATATATTATTTTGGAGGTGTTGCTGTTTGTGCTGGTAATTGATTTCTTCGCTTGACTCTTATTTAAGAAACAACAAAAGAACAAGTATACTTCAGGTGCACATACACCGCAGACAAACATACACCTCACAAATATACATGTAATATCCTCTTCATTCATTCAACTGCACGCCTCTGTCTCTCTCTCTCTCTCTGTGTTCTTCTATTTGTCTGTCTGTCTCTGACTCTGTGTGTCTGTGTTGAATATGCTTCAATTGAATGTACAATACAACATAAGAAATAAACATAAGCCGAAGAAAGCAGAAAATAAATATATCTCAGGTGTACGTACACCTCAGCATAATATTGAAGTGTATATATACACCGTTAGAGTTTAATATCTTACCGAAGAGATCAATATCTTCTTCTTCTTGTACTTGTTTTTGTTTATTTCCATCTAAAGAATAAACATAATATCTGCAAGCAACAGATAATTCGCAACACGCCGGGGCATCTATCATCATCTTCGTTGTGAAAATTAAGGTGTATATACACCTGAGGGGTTGAAGGTTTTGTTTAATTTCGAAGTAAAAATAGAAATTGTTTATTTAAATATATATAAATATATATATTTTTATTTTTGTTTCTTCATATTTCATAGTTTTTAAAGAGAAGCGAGACAAACAATTTTTTTGCTGTGGGTATGCTGCTGCTGCTGCATGCAATAAAAAGCCCCAAAGGATTTCAATATCTTTAGCTTTATTATTTTTGTTTATTTTCATTAATTTCATTCATTTTATTCGTTTTATTCGCTCAAAACTAAATATATTCACTCTAAATAAACCTCTAAACAATAGAAGGCAAGCAAGTACCCGCTGCGCTTGCCCTTCTCCTAAACCCTAAACCCTAAACCCTAAACCCTAAACCCTAAGGCGTAATTCATAAAACCCTAAATCATCAGTTGACTTCGTCTGTTGCAGCAGCAGCAGGAGATCTTTTTTCAACCCCTAAAAATTGTTCATTGCTTAGGGTTTAGGGTTTGTTGTTGATTAGGGTTTAGGGTTTGAGGGTTTTTAGGGTTTAGGGTTTAGGGTTTAGGAAATGGCGCGGAAAAAGAGTAAGAAGCATTTATTATCTGCTTCTGCTGCTCTTCATAGCGAAGCCAATGATAAACAAAACAATAAAACAGATCTCTTAGGGGACTCTGAAGAAGAAGAAGAAGCAGACGGAAGGAGACAGACAAATAAACAAAACAACTCAGATTTAACAATTACTATAAATAAAAAATATGCACAAAAATATGAAGAGCGTAAAAAGAGAGAGCTCCTCGCTAAACACAAAGAAGAATTAGAAGAACTCAGCGGTAAAAACCCTCTAAACCCTAAACCCTAAACCCTAAACCCTAAACCCTCGTTTCGGGTGTCTGCGCATCCAGGTGTATATACACTTTTTGACGAGAAAACATTGAAAAAAAATTTTATAATATTTAAATAATGCATTTGATAATAAAATGAAGTAAATATATCTGCATGCATTTTAAATTATTATTTGTTTTATTTATATTTTTTTACAGAGGATTCAAGCTCTGCTGAAGAAGATGAAGAGGGTTCGTTGCTAACAGCCAAAGTAGAGAAAAAGTTTTTTAAAGTTTTATCTCTAATTAAATCAAAGCACCCAAATATATATAACCCAAATAAAACATTTTTCAAGGATAAAGACTTTGAAGAGGATGAAGAAGAAAAAACAGAAAAAAAAGAAGTAATACAACAAAAGCTGCATATACAGCCCATGATATAATATATATTATAATAATTTATGTATATTATATATTATATATTATAGTAATTTATGTATATTATATGTTATATATTGTATATTATATATTATATACTGTATAGTATGTATTATATATTATATATTATATATTGTACATTATATATATTATATATTGTATATTTTATATATTAAATATATTTTATATTATATATTATATATTGTATGTATAGAATATATTACATATTATATATTATATATTATATGTATAAAATATATTAC